GATCCACAGAGCAGGAGGTCATCTACATATTGTTGCAGAGTAGCTTGTGGGTATTGCCATTCTGCCAAGTCTTGGGTTAGAGCTAACCCAAAGAGGTGGGGGCTGTCTCTGAATCCCTGGGGGAGGACAGTCCAAGTGACCTGTTCAGACTTTCTTGTGGGGTCCTCAAAGGCAAAGATCAGTTGACTTTTAAGGTGTAAGGGAATGCAAAAGAAGGCATCTTTTAAATCCAGGACAGAGTAGTAAGCAGTACCTGGAGGTATTTGGGCTAAAAGCGTATAGGGATTTGGAACTACAGGATGGAGAGACAATACTGTTTCATTGATCAGGTGGAGATCCTGGACTAGCCTTCATTTGTTAGGTCCCTTTCTGACACTGAGAATAGGAGTATTATATGGGCTGGAGCATTCTATTAGCAGTCCCTGTCTCTTTAAGTCTTTGATTATGGGAATTAGCCCCTCCTTAACTTCTGGCTTTAAAGGATATTGTTTTTGATGGGGAAAATAGGAGGGGTCCTTGAAATAAATTAGGACTGGGACAATTAAGAAGGAGTGACAGAAGTGGAAATCTCCCCAGGAGCAGGCTAAAGGCTGAGTGAAATATGCTTTAGATGCTGGCCTGATATGCCTCGAACAGTAATTTTCTTGGAGGACCTGGGTCCAGGAGAGAAAGGAATAGCTGAAATGCTGGCCCCAGTATTGAAAGGAGGCTGACCTTGTGCTTTTCATTAGTGAGTAAAACCTAGAGCTCCCCTGCTTTTATGGTGGTCACAGGAGCCTGAATGGAGGCCCCAGGACCCATCATTGGGTAGGAGGCTCTTGTCTTGGTTCCCCTGGGAACCAGGGACAGTGTGCCTTCCAATGTTTTCCCCAAGAAATGGGGCAGGATCCCGGAGGTAGCTTTCTCTGGGGGCACTCCCTCCTAAAATGGCCTGCCTGTCCACATTGAAAGCATGTCTTCGGGTTTGGACTTTGCCCCAGGGAAGCCTCTTTGAGTGCTGTGATCAGAGCCTCCTGCCGCGTATCCTTTCTCTTTTCCTTTTCCAAGTCCTTCTCTTCTTTTTCTAAGTCCCTGTTATAGTATACGGACATGGCTACATGGACCAATTGGTCTAGATCTCTACTCCTTCAGCCACCAGTTTCTGAAGCTTTTTACAGATATCTAGTGCTGACTGTGTTAGAAATTTATCTTTTAGGACAATTTCCTCTTCCTGTGACTCTGGTATAATGTTGGTATGCTTTTGTAAAGCATCCTTAAGTCTCTGTAGGAAAGCTACTGGAGTTTCTAAGGGTCCTTGCTGTACAGCCATGACTTAGGAGTAATTAAGAGGTTTTACCTTGGCTCTCCTTAGACCCTCAAGAATGCAGTGGATAAAATGGTTACGACTCCATTCATGCTTGTCATTTTCAGGGTCCCACTTAGGGTCATACCTAGGCACTGCCTGATCTCCTGTTGGAATTGGGAATTGAGATTCCCTTTTAGGTATCCAATGCCTTTGTCTTTCTTCTCCCTCCCCTTCCTTCTCCTGTGAGGGCCCAGTCTGAGACAGACCTGTAAGGCTACTTTTAGCTAAGTGATAATTATGTCCAGCTCTGACTGCCTGATCTAGTACCCGCTGTTCCTCCAAAGAAGTAAGGGTCTGAGATAGCAATAGCATTACATCTTTCCAGCTCAGTCCAAAGTTTTGGCTGACTTCTCTAAATGCCTGGATGTACTGATCTGGGTTTTCTGTGTAATTTCCTAAATCCTTTTTTATTTCTTTAAGTTCACTCACTCTAAAAGGAACGTGAGGCTTATCCCTTCCAGAAATTAACTGGAAGGGGTAGAGTCCTGCGGGACAGCGTCTAGTGTGTGAGGTAGCTGGGTAAGGGGGAAGAGGGGGAGCTGATGGAGCATCAGATGGGTTTTTGTTTTTTGGTTTTTTTTTGGTTCAAGGGAGTTTGGGGGCTTTTTGCAAAGGGTTACCATGGTCTGGGTATCTAGCCTGCATTTGTTTAGCCTTTCAGGGTGGTCTCAGGAAAAAGAACAGTTGAACATATGGAACTTTGGTCTACTTTCCATCTTTTTTATAGAACATATCTAATTGAAGAATGGTATTATAATTAATGCTCCCTCCTTCTGGCCATCTTTCCTCATCTCCCAGAGGATACTGTAGCCAAGCCTGGGTGCAGTAAAACTTGAGTTGCTTTTGCTGAAGACTTTCTGGATCAAGGTCTTTCCAGTGTTTTAATAAGCAGGCAAGGGGGGATCCTTCCTGGATCCTTGAGGCTTGATTCCCCATCTAAAAAGGGAAACAAGGGAAAATTGGTCAACGTAACAGAGGTTTCTCCTTTTATCTAGACATCCCCAGATAAGGAGAAACTCTAGTGGGAGAGGGCGTCCTGCTCTCTCTTGCTCCTTCCACTGCCACCTGTGGGTAAGGTTGTGGAGGATTTACAGATACTTCAGGTGCACCCACCCCCCTGAAATGATCTTTGACCAATCTTTTATCTATTTTGACTTGCCCCGTGACCCAGGTAGGCCTGGTTCTCCTCTACCAGCTGAAAGCTTTTAATTTAAAAATAACTCTATCAAAGTAACCAAGAGGGCTTGCATGGCCAAAGAGAGGACCCCTGTAGAGGTGTGGATGGGGACTCCTGATGAAGTAGTTTTTTGTCTCCCTATATATTCTGTGAGGCACATATGCTTTTTATGAAAAGAGAGAGTGTCTGAAGGCTTTTGCTCCAGTAAGGGGCAAAAAATGGAGAAGACCTGAGGTTTTTGCCTTTTAACTGTTTATTTTTTTCTTTCCCCTGAGGGCAGGCTGCAGAACCTGTTTAACCAGTGAATCTGATGCTTGACAAAGACAGTTAAGCCTAAATTGGAGACTAACACTTTCTGTAGGAATTTTTCCCAAACTCCCTGAAGAAAGAAGCTCACTGCTGTTTAGAGCAAAAGGGGGAAGGGGACACTCATCCTGAACTGCCTGGGAAAGGGGGAGGAGATGCTGAGGGTTGGGGAAAAGAGAGTTCCTAGGCTCAAGGAAGCATGAGAAATCTGATTGTCTATTTGCTGCAGACGTGGCTGGAGAGATCCAAGACTTAGCTGCCTTTGGAGCCTCAGGGCGGGTCAGGAAGTTGTGTGTCTCCAGCCTTTGAGTGACACCGGGAGTGCCCCGGCCAGAACACCTTTTATGGCTTAAAGACAAACTTTCTTTTCCACTGGCTGTTTTTGGACCTCCTCTTAAGTGGGTCAGGTCTTGAAAGAGAGAGTTAGAGTTTAAGGAGAGGAAAAAAGCCTCGGTGCACTGAAGTTGGACTCTGCCCACTTAGCATTGGCAGTGCAGTATAAACCCCTGCCCAGCATCTGAGTTTCCTCAGATTGCCTGCCTTACAGCTGTAATGGGCTTGGAGCTTTTCCTCAGTTTCCCAAGGAAGAAACCCTCCTTAACAAGACAGAGAGAGAAGTTCAGCCTGAGAGTTCCACCGTAGCTAGGCTGTGGGGGGGGGAGTCTCTCCTGGAAAATAGACTCCACCAGAGTGCCAGACAAATCACGGTCATGTTCCTAGGCAGCCTTTCCCAGTTTGGCACAACCTATACCAATCTTAGGTGCTGGCTGGTCCCTTCATGGTTGCCAAATATGATGCACAGATGACACGTGCAGGAATTTCAGGTGCTCAGGGTTCTTGGGCCTGCTCTGAGAATGAAAGCACAGACAGACTCCAATAGCAGAGGTCAGACAGATTTTATTTGTAGAAAAGAGAAAGAATGCATATTGGGGAATGCAGGGGGACCCGGAAACTGGTGATCCCATGGGTGAGGGTGAGGAGTGGAGTTTTATAGCCTTTTTTTGCATTGCCTGAGGGTAGAGATGCCTTTCAGATGTAGTTGGGCATTCCCTAGGGAGGAGAAGTGTCTCCTTGACCTCCCACAGTCTGTCCTTCATAAGGATCCAGCTTCCCAAGTCCCATTTGTTAGACAAACTGTCTTTTCTCTAACATGTGGTTTAACACTTTTGTTGAGAATCAGATGGATGTAGGTGCATGGGTTTATTTCTTGACACTGTATTCTATTCCTCTGATCTACATACCTGTTTTTATGCCAGCACCATGCTGTATTTGTTAAATGTGTCTCTAGAATAATTTGGAATCGGGTATTGTGAGATCTCAGTATTGCTTTGTCTATTCAGGGTCTTTTGAGCTTCCATATGAATTTTAGGGTTGATTTTTCTAGTTCTGGGAAGAACTAGAGCAACCTGATAGCCATGGGTTCACAGCTCTAAATTTTGTCATGACTGCCTATCATGGATGCTTTCTATCTACATACTGTGGCAGGGTGTCCCCAGGATCCCTGACCTATGATTGTTCCTTGTTTTCAGGTCCCTAGAATAGCTTAAACTGAAACAATAGATTCCTCCGAAGGTGGTACCTGGCTATAGCTTTCCAAGATAGGAGGAGCTACAAATTGTCTTTCTTCCTCAATGCTAGCCTGTCATGCATGAGGAGTCATGTCATGCCAATCATTCCACTGTATTGAAGGCTTGTGAGAACTGTGGTTCCTCCTGTGACTAGGACTATTCGTCTGTTGTCACAGGGCTGCCTAGCTTACCTTGTGGTTGTGGCTTTCGGGAGCCAGGTTGGAGCTGAGGTCCATTTTCTACTTTTCCTTTGTGCCACCTTTCTGTTTCTCTGTGCTTTTTAGCTGGCCTATCACCCTTCTTGACTCCTGATGCTCTTTTTCTCTTTGTATATAGTCTCTCCTTTGTCACTCTGAATTTTCTCATTCACATTCATATGGCGAAAGCTCCCAATCTGCCATTTTACATGGAAGTTTTAAGAGTAATTTCTTATATCTGAGATCAAATTGGATTCTTAGGTGAAACATGGAATTTAGAAATTGGTGTGGATTCTTCATAAAGAAGTATTTTGAATCTAGTAATGATATTAGAAAAATAAATTCACCAGTAGAAAGTACACTATGATGTTAAATAACATTGAATTTTCTAATTCTAATTTTTGCAGAGTGGCCAAAATAGTCGCTCCCAAAAAGATAAAACTAGCTGCAGCTGAAGGGGAGCTTAAAATTGCTATGGATGGTCTTAGAAAGAAGCAGGCAGCCCTTAAGGATGTTCAGGACAAGCTGGCCAAGCTGCAAGACACACTAGAGCTGAACAAACAAAAGAAGGCTGACTTGGAAAACCAGGTATACATGGACACACACAAGTGTGAGCAAATTCTCAAGTGTTGCAAATAAGAATGATACTCACATAGCACAGGACACACCAGCCCTGACTGACTGCCTCCTTCTATGGGATCTGTTCTATAATCTATATTTGCACAAATATAGAACCTGTGTTATTCTGAATGGTCACTTTTAGTTTAAAGAATATAACCAATAGTTGGACACATAGTTGCTCACTATATTCTTCAATATTGCTACATGTTTGAAATTTTCTTTGTTTTTATAACAAAATATTGGAAAATGTTGGAAATATAAAATGAACTTATACATATGTTTATACTAAATGTCTACTTCTGGAGGAAAAGTTTTAGCTAAGATATTTTTCTTAGTAGTTTCTAATGACAACTTTACTGTAATCTAAGGTCTAATTCAGTTTATTATAAGCACTTTTAAAAGAAGACTAGATAAAGAAAGAAACTAGGAAGGCAAAAGATAGTTAAAGAAAGAAAATTAAATAGAAAGATTTAAATTTGAATCAAAAATATTGCCCATTACATTTTTTTATTTTTCAAGCTTATCTGTAGATAAGCTGATATTTTATATCTTTTAATCTAAAAGTACTTAAAAAAACATTAATAATATTGGGAAAAATATAAGATAAATTCTTACTTCGAAATAATGTAAGTGCTTTAATTCTTCTTTTCTTGTAAATTATATTTCCATTTGAACCTCAAAGTAGGCTTTACTTAATCTTTTCTTCTGTCAGGAATAACAATGGTAGGGCTGGAGGCCTAGTTCAAGTGAGAACACCTGCTTAGCAAGTGAGAGACCCTGTACTGCCAACAACTATATTAGTAATAGTGAGAACAATAATTCTAAATCACTTAAAATTTTTTAAAAATTACTGAGCAATATGATACAGGCATATTGCTGTTATATAGGTTGAAGTGGCTTTTCCCCAAGTTTGCCACCTTCATAAACATCCCTTCTCCCCCTCTTTTTAATCAAATTGCTTAATTACATACAACCAATTTTGGTTGATTGTCTTACGCACAAAGTAGGCTCTTAGCTATTGATTGATGTCTTAACTCAAACTTAGTTGCCAGTATCTGAGTCACTTGATACCATTTAGCAACTAGTAAAAAGGCCTAAATTGTTAAAATTTTTAACCTTTAAAATCATCCTTACACCAACAAGTTAAATGAGGAAAATGTTTGAATAGACTATTTGAAATACAATGCATCCAGATTATTTATTTATTTTTGTGGTGCTGGGGCTAGAACCCAGGCTCTTGTACATTCTAGGCAAGTGCTCTACCACTAAGCTACACTCCCACCCCACCCCTTTTTTTCAGATCATTTTAGATGAAGGGAAAAATCTATATTTGCAGGAGAATATTGTTGTCTTAACTTTCAGTGTCTAATACTATAGGGCATTTCCTTAGTCATTCTTTAATTATATGATGAATAATCTATGAATTTCATAAATTGTATTAAAGTAAATACTTTATTAAAAAATTATAGGGTATCATGAACTTAGTCATAGTGAGAGATGTCACATTTTTCTTTTACATAATGTCTTTGAAATGTCAGGCCATTTTGTAATCTAAAAAATTTATTTCTGAGGTTGAAATCTTGCAGAATTTTAAACTCGCTTGTGGATGTAGATTAAAGTTTATTTTTATTTTTGAGGTTGACTTGTGCAGCAAAAAACTGGAACGAGCTGAGCAGTTGATTGGAGGCCTCGGAGGGGAGAAAACTCGATGGAGTCACACTGCTCTGGAGTTGGGGCAGCTGTACATCAACCTGACAGGTGATATCCTCATTTCCTCAGGAGTTGTTGCTTACCTGGGAGCCTTTACGTCTAACTATAGACAGGTGAGAGCACTCTGGACTGCTTCCTGGCCCTCCTCCCATCAAAGCCACCTTGAGTCTCAGGGCTTCTTTCTTTCTTTGTTTTGTTAAGTTCAAGGAACAGCAAAATATTGTTAAATGATTTTCTAGCTGTGTATTTTAATTTATGAATTGTCTTGATAGCCAAAAAATGTTATATGAAATATTGTTCTAAAGTTTAATTTTTTAGAAACACAAAGATATACTTTAAAATGTAATGTGAAATGGTAGACTCTAATGATAAAATTTCAGTTCCTAAATAAAGGAATCAGGCCTGAGTGTGAGTGTGTGTGTGTGTGTGTGTGTGTGTGTGTGTATGTGTGTTTGTGTGTGTGTGTGAGAGAGAGAGAGAGAGAGAGAGACAGAGAACATGCATTCTCAATTGATAGCTCTGCATGAGTTTTAAGAATATGTTGTTTCACAATCTCTTCAGAAACTGAAGGGGAGGAAAGGACAAACCTGCCTCAAAGTCTCAAAGGTGGCTTCTTAGAAAATAAATTCCAAATTCCCTGCTTTGCATTCCCACACCTTAGATTGCTTCAGTCTTTTCTCAGGTCCAGTTCCTCACTCTAGGAGGTAATCCTGAGCCTTCCATTTCCTGTCTCTCCCATTTTTCTGTTCTTTTCCAATGAGACCCAGTATACGCTTCAGCTTTCTTTAGAAAAACTGAAACTCAACCTAGTATGTGGTTCTGTCAAAGCTAGAGAAAGAGTAGAGAAATTCAAAGAATAAAAAGAGAAAAGGTGGGGGAGAGATTAGAATAAAGAGAAGAGAGAAAATGAAAATTAAAACATTTGGCAGTAGCTTCTGGTGTCAAGCAAGGAGAGAAGGAGTAAGGGAAACTCACCTTCATGGAAACCTTTAGAGTTTCACACAATTTTCTCATATATGGTGTCAATTGAGCCCCACTTAATTTCAGGACTTTCTCCTAAACAGAGTTGATTCTTAGTGTCTCTTATATGGTTTGCTTGTTGTTTTTTAGTAGCTCTGTCCTGGAGCACAATCTTCATACTCTTTGGAGCTTTATCTATTCATTTGTATCTTCAAATGTCCAGGATTTTCTCATTAGCATCTTACAGTTCAAGTAGTAAACATTTAATATAACACCATTTATTTAATAATGGTGTAGTTCACTTGACAATTACAATTTCAGAAACTGAAAATTACAAAGTTGTCCAGAATTGCTCAGAGCCACATATCTTATTAGTGACAGAGCAGGAACAAGACCTGTGATCACCTGAAATCTACTCTCCTACATCCTCATGGAACAATGGTCCACAGCATGGCTTGGGTGCCTTGCTGACTACTGTTTAGCATTTCACAGCCATGCAAATAGTATATTAGCTTGACCTTGTATGCTTCCCCCGACAGACCCATTCTAAGGGACTGCATCTTGCTGATTCATTCATCACCCCACTCCTACCAGATGGGGTGTCGCCAGTCAAACCACCACATAAGTCCCTGGAGGAGGCCTTAAGCTCCAGAACTGAGACCTTTGAAATTTACTGATAGAAGCAAAGCCACACTAAAACTAGTCACAAGATAGAACCAAGCTCAAAGCTCTGTCCATGAACCTTCACTGTCCTAACACTTGATTCACTTATTCCCATCCCATCTCACCTCTGAGAAGGCTTGACAGTAGTTTTACCCTCATTGCTTTACTACGTCATCCGAGGATTTACTTTTCATCTTTAGTCTCTGATAGATATGAGTTCATTCTCTGATTCTTCCTTGTAATCTTAACTCTTTTATTTGTGTTTCTCAGGTCAAGACAGTGGGGTACCTTACACTCCATCAGTGGTTTCTCATTCAATTTTTTGATTTGTGTGAGTGTGTGTGTGTGTGCACATGTGTGGTGCTGGAGATTGAACACAGGGCCTCACACATGCAAGGCAAGTGCTCTCCCACTGAGCCATCGCTACACGTACCCATCCTTAATTCTAAGCACAAAGATTGTACTGACAATGTCAGTGCCCTGCCCAGGTCCCCTCCTGGCCTCCATATGCTCTCATATCCAGAGCAGCAACTGTGGCTCCATTTTTTTTTTCCCATTCAGTTTTCTTTCAGATCCTTAGAACCCACTTCATCCCTGATTGAATAGCTAGATGTGCCTGGGAATTTACTTCCCTCTGGGGCAGCACTAATGAATGATTGGCAGAGGCAGGAGCCTGTTTTGTCTGATTGGGACAACTCCAAAGAATAACTTATATTTTGAACTAGATCCATATTTGTCATCCTGGACAAGTATCAATTCAAAGTAGATTAAGGATCTTACTACAAGATCTGAAACTTTGAAGCTAGCTCAGGAAAGAGCAGGGAATACACTGGAAGCAATAGGCATATGCAATGACTTCCTCATTTGAACTCAATTGGCTCAGCAACTAAGAGAAAAGATTGAGAAATGGAACTGGGTGAAATTAAAAAAGCTTCTGCACACCAAAAGAAATGGTCTCTAAATTGATGACACCAGCCACAGAATAGGAGAAAGTCTTTGCCAGCTATGTATCAGACAAGGGACTGATAACCAAAATATACAGGGAGCTCAAAAAACTAAACTCCCCAAAATATCAATGACCCAATGAAGAAATGGGCAAATGAACTAAACAGAGTCTTTTTTTAAAATCCAGTGTTTTATTATAAGAATGTTCAAAGATACAAATGAAATGGAAAGATGTATGTGTACTGAAACTCCAGTCTTACCACTTAGACTCCATAATTAACATTTTGTGGTATTTACAAATCCATATATCTGCTCATTTATTTATTTTTATAACTATTGATTGGTCTATTTTTTCTGGATTTTTTGGGGGGAGTACTAGGGATTGAACCCAGAGTCTCATGCTTGCTAGGCAAATGCTCTATCACTTAAGCTGCAACACCCTTCCCCAGCCTTCTTGGGTTTTTATTTTATTTTATTTTATCATTTTTGCATTTACTTACATGTGTATACATTATTTGGGCCACCTCCCCAGCCTCCAGGCAGAACCTGTTCTGCCCTCTTGTTTACCAATTTTGTAGAAGAAAAAACCATAAAAGATAATAAGAAAAACATTGCATTTTTGCTAGTTTGACATAAAGATAGCTATTCGGGAAGATTCCTTGTGTTGTTTTCATGCATATGTGCATTACAACCCAAGTTAATCCAGTAATATTATTGGACATGGGTCGCACACTAAGGGGACACTGCACATAGGAGGGATATGGAAAGGGAAGAAAACCAAAAACTTGAGTGTGGTTGATGTGCTCACTGTATAGGAACAAATATAGTAATCTTAAACTGTCAGAGGCCACTATAGGAAAGGGACCAGGAAGTAATGAAGAGGTCTAGTAGAGATGAACCAATTTGGATTGTAATACATATATGCATGAACAGAGCCTTTACAAAGGAGGAAGTCCAAATGGCTAAAAAATACATAAAAAAATGTCCACCATCCCTGGCCATAAAGGAAATGCAAATCAAAACCATATTAAGATTCTAACACACTTGTGTTTGAATAGCTACCATCAATAACACCACTAACAATAAATGTTGATGAGGATGTGGGGAAAAAGGAATCCTCATACACTGCTGGTGGGTATGCAAGTTAGTACTACCACTATGGAAAACAGTATGAAGACTTCTCAAAAACTAAAAATAGATCTGCCATATGATACATCAATACCACTCCTAGGGATATACCTGAAGGAATATGAGTTAGGTTACAACAAAGGCTCCTGTACATCCCTGTTTATTGCAGTAGTGCTCTCAATAGTCAAGCTATGGGAACAGCCAAGATGCCCCACTACTGATGAATGGATAAGAAAATTAGGTATTTATATACAATGAAATTTACTCAGTCACAAAGAAGGATGAAATTTTGTCATTTGCAGGTTAATGGATGGAACTGGAAAATATCATCTTAAGTGAAGTGAACCAGGCTCAAAAGGCCAAAAGCTGCATGTTCTCTCTCATATGTGAAATATAGACCTAATGCAAATGCAGCAGTATTATGAAGCACTGGTCACACTAAGGGGAGGTCATGTATGGGAGGGGTATGGTAAAAAAAGAAAACTATGAACTTGAATATTGTTGATACACTCTCTATATGAGAATGAATATAGAAATCTTAAACCAACTGAAACTACCATAAGAAAAGGACTAAGGTAGAATGAAGAAAATTAGAGGAGTTAAACTAATTGGGGTTATAATGCATATATACATGGAAATATCACAAGGAAATGCCCTGTGTAGCTACCTTTATTTTTTTTTTCATTTTTCTTCTACAAAATCAGAGAACAGGAAGGTGGAACAGGTCTTGCACCAGGGTGGGGAGGGAGGAGGGAGGGAGCTGGTACCAGTGGGAAGAGGGAGATGATGGGGAAAAGGTGCAAAAACCGTGTACACATGTATGTAAGTACAAAAATAATACCTGTTGAAACTCTTCTAGGAATTGGGGGAGGGGTGGAGAGCAATGGAGGGGATGAATTCAAGTATGATATATTTGATACATTGTGAGAACCTTTATAAATGCCACAATGTACCCCCACCCAGCACAACAATAAAGGAAAGAATAAAAGAATAACTTACACTCACATGTGGTGATCCACGTGGTACATCTGGGGCTGGATTGCAAAGAGGCAGGGTAACCAGAAACAACAGCAAAAAGGACCATCTACACACTGACAAAAAATAGAGCCTTAGGACTAGCAGAGCACTGTTGCCAGTCACAAGTTCCATCTGAGAAAGTGCAGAAGAGTGCATTGTGGTTGGGAACTGCCTCTCTGTGCTTCCCATCACACTGCGTTGGTGTGCTACCAGAGTAGAAACCTAACAAAAGACTAAGAAAATATGAGTGGAATGTGCCTGACTTCTGCAACACTGTCAAAGACCAAACCTACGAATCATGGGTATAGAAGAATTTTCCTCCTTCTCAGAGATACAAACTAAAGGCATAGATAACTTACTCGATAATATAATAGAAGAAAACTTCTCCAATCTCAAGAAA